ATCTTTGATAAAGGATGTAAGAGTATACAATGAAGAAAGACAGCTTCTTCAATAAGTGGTGCTGGGAAAACTGGACAGCTATATGTAAAAAGTGAAATTAGAACACTCCCTAACACTGTATACAAAAATAACCTCAAACTGGATCAAAGACTTAAATGTAAGGCTAGACACTATAAAACTCTTAGAGGAAAACATAGGCAGAACACTCTGTGACATAATTCACAGCAAGATCCATTTTGACTCATCTCCTACAGAAATGGAAATTTAAAAAAAATCAACAAATGGGACCTATTGAAACTTAAAAGCTTTTGCACAACAAAGGAAACCATAAACAAGAGGAAAAGACAACCCTCAGAATGGGAGAAAATATTTGCAAATGAAGCAACTGACAAAGGATTAATCTCCAAAATATGCAAGCAGCTCATGCAGCTCAATAAGAAAAAAACAAACAGCCCAATCCAAAAATGGGCGGAAGACCTAAATAGACATTTCTCCACAGAAGATATACAGATTGCCAACAAACACATGAAAGGAGGCTCAACATCACTAATCATTAGAGAAATGTAAATCAAAACTACTATGAGCTATCATCTCACACCAGTCAGAATGGCCATCATCAAAAAATCTACAAACAATAAATGCTGGAGAGGGTGTGGAGAAAAGGGAACCCTCTTGTACTCTTGGTGGGAATGTAAATTGATACAGCCACTATGGAGAAGAATGTGGAGGTTTCTTAAAAACTAAAAATAGAACCACCATAGGATCCAGCAATCCCACTACTGCGCATATACCCTGAGAAAACCATAATCCAAAAAGAGTCATGTACCACAATGTTCATTGCAGCTATATTTATAATAGCCAGGACATGGAAGCAACGTAAGTGTCCATTGACAGATGAATGGATAAAGAAGATGTGGCACATATATACAATTGAATATTACTCAGCCATAACAAGAAACGAAATTGAGTTATTTGTAGTGAGGCGGATGGACCTAGAGTCTGTCATACAGAGTGAAGTAAGTCAGAAAGAGAAAAATAAATACTATATGCTAACACATATATATGGAATCTAAAAAAAAAAAAAAAGGTTCTGAAGAACCTAGGGGCAGGACAGGACTAAAGGCGCAGACATAGAAAATGAACTTGAGGTCATGGGGAGGGGGAAGGGTAAGCTGGGACGAAGTGAGAGAGTAGCATTGATGTATACACTATCAGATGTAAAATAGATAGCTAATGTGAAGCAGCTGCATAGCACAGGGAGATCAGCTAGGTGCTTCGTGACCATCTAGAGGGGTGGGAGGGAGATGCAAGAGGGAGGGGATATGGGGATATATATATACATATAGCTGATTCACTTTGTTATACAGCAGAAACTAACACAACATAGTAAAGCAATTATACTCCAATAAAGATGTTAAAAGAAAAAAAAGAAACAAAACCCATGTGAATCAGATCGGTTTTAAAGATTGGGGATTGTGGGGTTGTGGCTAACATTTACCTCTTCAAAGCATTTGAATTCCATGTACAAAATCACACTACAAAACACAGTTGTAGTCAGGAGTTCGGGGCAATCATGCACTACCTCTGTTTTATATTATACGTAAAGCTTTCACTTAAAAAGAACAATTTTAGTTTCACTTAGTTGGAAGACGGAGAACAGATTTTAAGTTGTTTATGGAGCTTTCAAATTGTGACAAACTCTTTCAGGACTGGTGGATGTAGCCACTATTATTACAGCATACTTTTGTATGTATAAGGAACCTATGTTTTTATATTCCAGAACTGCTTTTGGTTCTTATGCTAATTGGCAATTTCTGTTTCATTTATTTTTTAATCATAGACAGTTTATTTAACCTCCGTACACCTCATTGCTCTCTGTTTCTTAGCCCAGACATAGAGAGTAACACAGATTTGAGAAGATTATTTCGGTAGTGGGACACATCCTGAGTGAGATGGAGAGGTCTTACACATTCCTCACAGCCAAGATGGCGAGGAAACCTGTTTCTTGAAGGTAAACTCATGCCCATTCTGTTTTACACTGTGTTGTCTTTCTGAATTTTCTCCAGTACTTCAGCTACAACAATTATAACAATATCCAGTGTGGTGCAACATGGGTGCAAAGAGAATAACACATGTAGAAAGTGAGATGAGAACAGGGATATATAATTATGTAGGAGCAGAAAACAATAAATACTATAGCAACTAACCTTTATTAGTTATGTTAGGAAAGTTGCTTTTAAAGTACTTAACTCATTTCCATAACAGAAGTAGGTAATATCATGACTCCATTTTACAGATGAAAAAGTTGAGGAACAGAAAGGTTAAGCAACTTGTCCAACCTCACAGATCTAGTAAGAAATGAAGCCAGGATTCAACCCAGGCAGTCTGACTGGATGGCCTGTGCTCTTAACCAACACAAACCAACACAAATTTTGATGATATTGAAGATGAATCACTAAGCCTTCCACAGTTCATTGGAAGGGATACAAAAGATAAACACTGATCCCGGAATGTCAGAATATGTGAGGACAACCAGAGAGCAGACTATCTGTTTATCTATTTCTTTCTCCATCTCTCTATATCTTTCTAGATATATATTCCAAATACATATCTCTATATATCCCAGCATTAGAGCATTTGAAACTGTAGCAAAATTAGTCCTTCTTTAAAGCCTCTTAACTTCCGTAATACTTCACTGTCCTGACTCACCTTAAATCAACGCTAACAGTGACTTCAGTAATAGCCAACTTTTTATTAAACACATTTACTCTGACCCAGGCACTGCACTAAATACTTTCTACACATTAACATGTTTAACTCTACCTTCATACCCCTTAACCTTCTCATTCCTCCTCTTCATATATGTGAGCACTGATGCAAGTTTCCTTTCCTGCATGTGATTCAATGATCCCCTCTTTCAGACCTTTCCCAAGTTTATATCCTGGCTCTATCCTCTTTGCTGGGATCCAACTTCACATTTGTGAGCATCTGGTCCTCAAGTTCATCTTAATGTCGGGCTGGCAGAAGTGACGTTTGTTTTTTATCAAAATTCAAGGTGCTTTCTTCCCCAAACTGTTTCTTCTAATGACTTCCAAATGACCATTAGTGCCACCTCCATCCCTCCCGTCTGCCATCTGGAACTGCCTTTGCCACGTTCCTCCAAGTCCTGCCTCTACAGACTGGCTCTCCCGTCCCCCAGACTCATAGCTCTTTCTGTCGCTTTCCATCAACTCTTCGTCTTCACTCCACGTTACACCCTCGAGCAGACTCTAACAATTCCACCCAAAGTTTCCCTTTTTAATCTTTAATCTTATTGCCAAATTAATTTTCCTAATGTTCAGGGTTTTTTCTCAAACTCTTATATATTGATGACAATTTTATCTGCAATAAGATAGTTATGAACTCACCATTGGTTTTTATTTTTACTAATTTTTCTGATAGATGTAAATTTCTTCTTTCTTCCCCCAGTTTTATTGAGATATAATTGACTGTATCAGTTTCAGGGGAATGGCATAATGATTTGAAATATGTATATATTGCAAAATGATTAGCACAACTTTCGCTAACATCCATCGCCTCACACAGTAACAATTTTTTTTCTTGTGGTGAGAACTTTTAAGAACTACTCTCTCAGCAACTTTCAAATATATAAAACAGTATTGCTAACTATAGTCTTCATACTATACATTACATCCCCAGAGCTCACTTACCTTATAACTAGAAATGGGTATCTTTTAACCACCTTCACCTAATTCCTCCATCCCCAACACCCTTCTCTGGTAACCTCAAATCTGATCTGTTTCTATGAACTTGGGCTTTTTAGATTTCACATATAAGCGAAATTACACAGTATTTCTCTTTCTCTGTCTGACTTATTTCACTTAGCATAATGCCATCAAGATTCCTCCAGGTTGTCACAACTGGCAGGATTTTCTTCTTTCTTGTGGCTGAATAGATTTCTATTATATGTACACCATGTCTTCTTTGTTCATTCGTCAATGGATATTCCAGCTGTTTCCTTACTGTGGCTATTGTAAACAATGCTGAAATAAACGTGGGTGTGCAGATATCTCTTCAGGTGATTTCCTTTAGATTCATACCCAAAAATGGAATTGCTGGATCATATGGCAGTTCTATTTTTAATTTTTTGAGCAACCTCTATATAGTTTTCCATAGTGGCTGCACCAATTTACATTCCCACCAAAAGTACAAAAAGGTTCTCTTTTCTCTACAACCTCACCAGCATTTGTTATCTCTTGTCTTTTGGATGGCAGCCATTCTAAAAAGTGTGAGGTGATATCTTTTTGTGGTTTTAATTTGTATTTCCCTAATGATTAGTGATGTTGAGTACTTTTTCATGCACCTGTTGGAATCACTGATTTTAAAATATCTACCAAATTTCTAATCACTCCAATATTTGAGTTCAACTCATCCCTGGCCTACTTATTTTTATTCTCCTTTTTATTCTCTTTGTCTATTATATACTCCAATAAAACAGTTACAGTTCCCCAAATAAACCAAGCCAAAAAATGCTCACTTTTTTACACTATTTCTTTCACCTGAAAGTGTATTTTTCCTTATGGAAATAGTGCCCATCTTTCAAGGTCCCATTTAAATGTCCTCCATGAAATCTTCCCTGATTGCCCAAGAAGCAATTACTCTGTCTTTGAAACTTCCATGACATTTTAGTTGTTCTCATATGGCCCTTACTGCTTTTAACTTGTATTGTATTTATTTCTCTGTGTGTCTTATTTTCATACATGACCGTATAGAACCCTATAGTGATAGGCATCATATTTTGTAAATCATTATCATTGAATCAGTCAGAATCCTGGGTTGGGGTCACAGATGTCACTCTCAAATTAAGAGGTCTTGGAAAGTGAGGGCAAGGTGTAGAGAAACCACAGGGACACTGGCGTATTCCGGGCTCATAACAGCAGAGCTGTTACCATCTCCACACTTTAGGGAAGTGAGTGATTTTTAGAAGCACTGACCTTTGAAGTTATGGCAGCATTGCGCAGTGATGTGATCTTTCCACCCAGCCTGAGACAATCTTGTAGGGAGGGTCCAGGAGCAGTAATGCCACACCTTCATCCTTCTCTTCTACAACCTCCTATTGGTGCTCCAATTGGCCAAACATAATTCAGGACCAAAGGGCAAAGTTGCCCGATGACTCTACATTTCCTGTGGCAGCAAATTGGGTGGAGAAAGGTAGAGAGGGGTTCTGACACAATCACTAAGATTTTACATTTAGTAAATTAATTTAATTAAACATTTAATAAATATTTATGGAATACCCCTTCAAGTTGCAAATACTACTTCATGACATTTTGAGGTTGAGATATTTTAAAGGTTGTAAGGTCTAGTTGATTTCCTTTACTATTTATTTCTAAGCATACTTTTACACTCTGCTCATCTCAGTGATAAAGGAAAAGCCTTTTTTTCTTCCCCGAAATGTGTACTCTTATGATATTTCTTATGAGATGAGATGACTTTTCAATAAACTGATGCTGACACAGGGATTGTTTTTTAAATGTAGATTTAAAAAATGACAATTTTCTGGTGGAGGGGAGCAGGGAAGAAGTTTGGTAAAAAATGATCTACCTGGTTCCTAAATTTCACATGTCTCTTGCCAAAGATTATTTAAAAAGCAAGTTTTCTTTTTCATTTTAACTTGCTATCTACCTTGAACTTTCACTGTGGCTGTCTATTTTCACAGACCTCAATACACATTAAGTCAAAGAAAGAGTAACGTGACACCTAAAGTACAAGGAATTCAGTTCATTATGCTGAGTAGATTTATTGAGATTCTAATACTGCGATTGTTGTGTGCATTGCTCTCAGTTCAGACATTAAGCTTTTAAATAAAGAATTCACCAACACCAATACCAAAAAATGAAAAACACAAACCAAATGTTATGTTAAATATATACATATTATATACAATATAAGTATATGTATTTATATAAACTAAAGAAGTCTCAAAAAATTCAAAGAAATATCTCTATATGAGGAGTATGGGATGTGATTAAAATGTCAAAATGAAGAAAAATGTTTAATATTTTATATATTACAATTATGATGAGGAATGATCATTTCCCTAGTCTTCAATCTAAGTTTGATTTTAGTGGCTGTCCCAGGACATCATTCTTGCTGTTGTTACTCTCTTGAGTGGCACTGATGTCGACTGTTCTTCATCATCGCCACTAGTCATTAATGTGATCTTGTAATTAAGAAAGCCACAAATGCCTCATGGTGCAAATATATAATTAGTGCTAGTTGTGAAGTATAGGGTATGACAAGATTCATGATTCATTTTACAGATTCCCAGGCTGATAAATTCTATAAGATAAAAAAACTCCCAAATTTTCTCACTTAATTCAGAGGGCTCTAATTTATCAAAGATTAAGTCATATTAGAACATTCTTACGTCTTCCCGTTGCTTTTCTCCCTATAGCAGAACTCTAAATTCTTTGGAGTATTATGTAGGCTAAGAGCATCAGATACTGAAATGATTGCCTCTGACCTTGAAATACTCTTTCCCTGTAGCAGATGGCTGGCTGGCCCCCAGAGTGACATGATTTCCTTACATAGTACAGAGTTGTGTTAGAAGGGGCTGACTAGAGTAAACATGGCTGCGGTCCCCGGGGCTCCTTGCATCTAAGGAGTGCCATACAACTAGTTCTCACTGATGCACTGTGAGTAGAAGAGATATATGTCACTTCTAGGTCAAAGTAGTTAAGAAGAAGATAGGCTTTATCCAGGACCCTAAAGGAAGGCAAAGTCACAATAGGGAAGAAGCCTGGGATCCTGAACGACAAAAGTAAACCATCCATTGACCAGGTACATCTGCAATGGACAAGGGCATTGCTGACCAAAATTTTCCTTTTGTATTATACCTCTGAGATAGTAATATTTAATATAAGTGAGTACCATGATATTGAAATACACTATATATTATATATAAAAGATCACAACATATAAACTTACAAAATATAAACTACAAAAAATATTACAAAATATAAAGTATTTATATATTTGTCAAAGGTGTGTATATATATGTAAATATATTTTATATAATATATAAATATATATAATATTTTATATTACATATATGCTGTATATACACACATACATGCATACACACATACACCTATGGCAGATATATAGATAATGCTTTGTATTTTTTAATATTTTTGTATTTTGTAAATATAATTACATTACATAATTTATATATTTTGCAAAAGTAATTATATATTATATTTATATATAATAAATATATGATATATTTTTATCTTCCTTCATTAGGATAAAATGTTCTGAAAGGCAAAAAACTGAAAAGAAAGCAGCCTTGTTGCTTTTACTTCTACTTTAGTTAATACACGTCAATCCAAAACTGAGGACAGTAGACTTCCACCCATTCCCTTGAAGAACTGTCTCTGCTAACTCTTAATTACAGCTAGACTGTGAAGAGCTTGTAAGCAAGAGAGCAAGAAACCCTATCAATTTAGTATTAAGTATCAGTATTAATTACTCGTGTGAAGAAATATGTGATTGTACAAATGGCTGAATGATGGTTACAAAGGAGTTTGCATTTGCAAACAAATGTCTGCAATTTGCCTGGTAAGCACCACTTACAGAATTTAAAAAGTGTAGCCCCTGAAATCAGACAAGTAATTCATACAGCGGTTCCTGTTCTTGCGTTAGAGGGTTCTCTGCTGTGACTGTGTTCACCTCTGGCAGCTCCATTACTTAGTCTCCCAAACTGGCTCATTTGAGGACCACCTCGGAGTGTGTCTTCCCTCTGAATGACTGGTCCTATTACTGATTTGATGTTTTCCCCAGAAGAAACTCTCTTGGAATTTACATAAAGCATCTCTCTTGACCCCACTTCTGCCATCAGCGATTGTTCCATATATTTGCTCCCTTGTGAGACTTAAGAGACTTGTTTTTGTTCCCTGTCTCCAATTCATCTCTGGCCAGGCTCTTTTAAACTACTTCCATAGGACTTTTTCTTCGCCATTCCACACACCATTATACCATTACAGGGTCATCCATGAGCTCCACATTTCTCAATCCGAAGGTCTCTGTCCTCACCATATGTGACCATCAGCAGCATTTGATACAGTTGATGAGTTCTTCCTCCCTGACATACTTTCTTCACTTGGTTCCAAAATCCTACCCCCCATTGACTGTCCTCTTGTCCTATTGGTCCCTCCTTCTCAGTCTCCTTTGCCAATTTCTCTTTTCCATAACTTCTTGATGCCCAAGTGTCTCAGATCTCAGTCTGTAGTCCTTTTCTCTATCTACACTCGTTCCTTTGGTAATCTCATCCAGTTTTACTGCTTTAAATGTATTTATTTGCAACTATTTCCAAATTTATGTCTCCTGCAAACTCTGGACTGCAACTGCATACTTGACATCTTGAGATACTTAGATGCCTAACAGACAAGAATGATTTCACATGTTCCAAACAAAGCTCAGATATACCCCCATGGCTATATAATCTGCTCTACCCATATCTTGCAGGTATACTGAGTATAAGGTATACCTTATACCCAGTATGTCAGGAAATCCTGTTGATTCTGCCATAAAAATATACCTAGAACCTGCCTGCTTTCCACCTTTTCCATCGCTACCATTCTGGTTGGATCCGCCATCATCTTTTACCTTGATTGCTGTGATAGCCTTATAATCCTTTAAAATAATAAAGAAAAGCCATGTCAGTCCTCTTTTCAAACTGTCAAGGGCTCCTATCTCACTCAGAGTGAAAAACTAAATCCTCACAATGGCCTACAAGGACTCAAATTGCCTCTGTGTCTTCAACTATTCACTTTTCTCTTGTCCTCTCTCTTTCAGCCACACTGGCCTCCATGCTGCTTCTCAAATATGCTATATACTTGTTAACACAGGACCTTTGCACTGGCTGTTACCTCTACTTGACCTATTCCCCCTCCAGATATCCACATGGCTAACTTGACCTCTTCATGTCTTCGTTGAAATGTCATTTTTTTAACTTGGAGCTCAGTCTGAACCCACGTTAGAAATCTTCCCTCTTTCCATGCCTTGCTATACTTCTCTTATTTTTCTATAGCAACTTTCAATCTCAAATCAATCATACCATTTACTTATTAATTATAACTATTCTGTCTCAACTGTAGCCCCTGATCATATATAAACTCCCCAGAGGCAGGAGTCTTTACAATTTTTATTCACTTGCATTCCCTCAGCAGCTGGAACCGTGTCTGGAACAAGGCTTATGCTTAACAAATACTTGCTGCATGGACTGAATACAGGAAAAAAGCAAGTGTGTGTTACCTGATCCATTCACTCTTCCACAAGTGAACTTAATCAATCACTCACCTTGTGCAATGTTCAGATTAGTAGGCGTGGATTATCTAAACATTTTAATTATTTTTCAGTAGTTTATGTGAGGGGTTCCTGGTGTACCCAGTTATTTAATAATGATATAATCTACTTATCAAATGTTGAGAAAAACAAAATGTAGATAGGTTAGTACTTTGCTAAAAGCAATAAACCTTGTAAGAAATGCAGACTAAATCTGCCTCTGCAACTCCAATTTGTTGATTCTCAAACTGTCTGTGGTGAAATTCCCAATCCATCACAGAACTTTTGTAAAGTATAATAAAAAGGAATTACCAGAAAAGTAAAAATTCAAAAAGGTACAAATAATACAAAGTCCACTTGTTTAGTATGAGGTTCAACAAAATTGTCAAATGGTTAAACATTTCTACTCTCAATTTTTGCATTTGTCTTATCGTGAACAGTAAGGAAGTGTTGGCATATCCCCATGGGCGCTAGAACCACACTTGGTGCAGGGCCACCCTAATCTATATGCCTCCCCATTCCCATCTCTTTCTATATGTGCCCTTGACATGAGCCTGCAAACCTTATACACGTAACCGCTCTGTTACCACTGTAGTGTCTCTGTCTCACTCACACTAAATAAACTGTATGGTAGGCACCTTAACCTAACACAGGTAGTGTGGTCACTGAGAATATAGGATAAGATCTTACAAAAACTTTACACAAATTTGTCTCCCAGGGCTAGGATGGCTTGTAATCACGCTCACCTTGCCCCTCCCAGAAGACCTTCCCGCAGAGTTAGACAACTGTGTGTATGGGGACCTGGTGACTCTGCTAGGAGGACAGGGCTATTTTCATCTCCTTGGTCATGTTCTTTGTCAAGATGCTCAACAAATTGGCAGCAGAAACAGCAGTTTTCCTGTCAGACTTGTCACGTTTCGGTATAAACGATTGTGTCCAGTGGTCGTCCAGGAAACAGTTTTGCAATCTGCGTTTAATCAACTTCATTGAGTTTTCACAGCATTACAAGCAGTTCATGACTGTCATTTTCCCCACAGATGACTCTATTCCTCAGTACCACTTACCCACTTAACACCTCCTGGCAACGGCCAGTGCCAGCCATCTGCCTCCATGGCGCCAAAAGTAGCAACTTCTGATACAGAGTGTGAATATTATGTTATTACATTTAATCTTTCCTCTGTGTGTTATCATTCAGCACAACGCCCTTCTGGATTATAGAAAATTAGATGGCAAATAATATTGCTTCCATATTGTTTTCTCCTCCCAGATTCCAGGGTTTGCCGCCAACAACCAGCCACTCTCTGGACCTAAGGCAAACCATTAGGTATTGTTCCAATGCCTGAGCATTGCTCAAAACCGCACTGCACTGGATTATGTGGAATGTACACTAGCACTGCGTCTGTTGCTGCGTCTCCCTACTGTGAGTCTGTGAGGTTTTTAGCGTGGAACACCATCTAGAGCATGGCTTATGCAACATCTAATTTCAATTCTCTTCATCACAATGCGGGGTTTGTTTTCCATTCCTAAATTTCTGTGTGGACAGAAGTGTGGGATGGGTTGTACATGCTGAGCTGTACATGTACAATCACCCTGATGAAATCTTGGGCAGATGAGCTATGGCTGATGACCCAAATAAACCACTCAAGTCAGCACAGAGGCAAAAACAACAACAACAAAACCCATCAAAATTGGCGTGTAGCATCTTATAAGCAAAAGCTAGTTGCTTGACCTAGGTTTTTTTTTTTCAACTTTAAGGTAGGTGTTGTGTAGAACTTTATCCCCGAAAATCTGATTTAATGGGTGTCCCTGACTCTGAAAAGTGACTTCTCATTCATTCATTTACTGTTCTGGCAATAAATATGTATCAAGTGCCCATTATGTTTTTCACTTCAGTATTTCAAGTTGCCTAATGGAATATTTGTCTAATGTGAGTTCAATGGGACATTAGGTTCATGGGTGTTGTGAAAAGGAATTATTCTATGGTCAATCGAGTTGGCAAAAAAAAAAAAAAAAACTGCATTAAACAAAGATAATCATGCCTATTGGGAGAATGGTTTCTCAGAGTTGACAGTAGGCTGACGTGCACTGAGAATTTCTAAGTGGGGAATTTAAAGGGTCAGATTAGCAATAGTGTTTTAGTTAACTGGATGCTTCCAGCCTCTTGCATTTTTCTTCAGAATACCCATAGCCCTCATATTTCTCAGAATATATTTTGGTAATTGTATCTTTACATTCTACTGATCATTAATATTTATGTGACGCCTCCCTCTCCCCGAACCTTTTCCATTTTCCTCTCCCCGAACCTTTTCCATTTTCCTTGCAGTTAGGTGTGGGCATTATGACTAGTTGTGGCCTATGGTCTTCAGCAAATCAACGCATCGCAGAATGGTGGTGAGTTCTACAGGCTCTGTCTTTCCCTCTAGTGGCGATCACAGAGGATGAATAATGAGATGTTGAGGTCAAAAGACGAGAAAGGTCTGAATCTCTGAGTCAGCATTTCAAGAAAGTGACTGTGAAGAGACAAAGACTAGAGTGGAATCGGCATGAGTAGGAAATAAACTCTTATGGTTTTGAAACTCTAAGGTTTTGAAGTATGTTACTGCAGCCCAGCTGATCCTGGCCTCTCTGTCTATAATGAAGCTACTGTGGATGACATTTTTTTTTGTTTTTTGTGGTACGCGGGCCTCTCACTGTTGTGGCCTCTCCCGTTGCGGAGCACAGGCTCCGGACGTGCAGGCCCAGCGGCCATGGCTCACGGGCCCAGCCGCTCCACGGCATGAGGGATCCTCCCAGACCGGGGCACGAACCCGCATCCCCTGCACCGGCAGGCGGACCCTCAACCACTGCGCCACCAGGGAAGCCCCTGGAGGACACTTTTTATGAACGGCATGGAATTCTATCTACACAAAATGGATCGTCTCCTGACCATAATTACGTGCTCTCATTTGTGTGCAGATTATACCAACTCATCATTGCTTAACAAGTATTTGGAAGAAAAGAAAAGAATATTTGAAAAGGTGGGAAAAGAGTCAGTACAATAAGCTGCGTTTCTTACTAAAAGATTTCCAGCAGGTGCTGCCTGTGAGAAAGAATATGCTAGAGCCTATGAACACACTTATGTCTGAGAGAAGAGTCTTTCCTTGCCTCAGATAGGATTTTTTTTCCACTTAATTTATGAGTCTAGGTAAAAACATAAATCCCCTTCACCTTCAAGGAAAGCCTTTGGTCCTAAAGCAAGGACCAAAGAAGGAGCCATTTTATCAGAAACTTAAGTATCTTCATTACAACATCAACAACATTTATTACATCCACTAGTTGGCAGGATACTCTTTTGAGCTCCAAAAGAATTTACATAATTTGGCCCCTGGGATTTTTATAGTCAAAAGCAGCATCACTTAACATCCCCCCCCACCTCTCCTGAGCACACGTGATCAATGACAGTCACATGAATGATGCATTTGCATGTTCAAAGCCACGGTTATGCACCATTTCCAGCAAAACGTTGGTCATCCTTCCTTCTCTCTTCCAGTCAAGAGACAGTGTAATGCAAATAAGTAAGAGGGATATTCGAGGAATAGCCTTGAACGTGTCCTGTCTATTTAAAGGAATACTTTGTGAACTCTGTTTTTTTAAATTCTACAAGTGAAAAGTTAATTGGATTTGCAAAACTACTGACCATTACATGCTGATGATGATTACAGTTAATATTTATGGAATGTTTTCTATAGACAATGCAGCACTCCAAATACGTGTAAATATAGACATATGGTTGTTTTTAATATCAATTTACTTAGTCCTCACCACAATCATCTGAAAGGGCATTATTATTGTCCCCCATTTTGCAGAAGAGGAACCTGAGGTAGAAAGGAGGAAGTGACTTGGACAAGGTTATGCAGCTGGGAATTAGTAGAATTGATATTACGTCATCTGCCAAGTGACTTCAAAGCTCACACCCTTTGACATCACTAAAATATTATAAAATAGTATCATAAAAGAGTATGTCATAATATTTACAGTTGAGAACAGCTAAGCATCTCTAGACCGCTCTTAGTTTACTGCTAGATCTTGGGAATCTAAGTTTCCCTTTTTCTCAAGGGGTTGCGAAGATTTACTGCAAAATCCCTTGTAACCATAGGAAGTTATAATCCTTTTAAGAAACATTCACTATCACCACCTCATTGAGGGAATGACGGAAAGGAAGATAGCACATGGGTTATCCTTCATTTTGTATTAGAGAACCATTGTGGAGTCAGAGCTCTGGGATTCAAAACGTAGCTCTACACTTGCTCTGCAACCATTCTGATTTTCATTTACTCTTTCGTCCAGTATCATTCATTGAGTACCCAGTCTGGGTCTAGCACCTTTCCAGACCTTGCAGAGACAGCAATGGACAGACAGGCCAGGTTCTTGCCCTCACGATACTTACATTTCAGCGGGAGGAAGCAGGTAATGCACCAGGACACAAGTTCATTAGAGGACCAGTTTCAGAGAACAGTGAATTACCTAAAGAAAAAAATATAGAGTAATGTGAGCCACAGTAACTGTAGAGAGGGTACAAAAAGATCACGGAATAGAAACAGAATATGTTGGGCATAATGTTAATGGAAAGTATAGAGTACAACGTTCTCTCTATACTTTTTGTGACATGAAATTGAAGATGCACATAAATAAAACATGGATGTTTTCAGAATGACTTTTGTGGGTAATTCTCTTCTTGTGTTGATATTATTTTCAAACTAGTCTGTAGTGAAACAATACATTTAAAATGCTTTCCCTTCAAAAACAATGTAAAAGCTTCAACCGTATTTTAATAAAGAAAAATTAGGAAAAAATACAAAACCAAACAATCATGCAATGTTGATATGGACTACTCAGCTGTCATAAAAAATGAGAACAATAAAGACAATACAGCCACCTAAGCATGTTTGTGATACAGTAAGAATACACAGAATACAAAAGTATTTATGACAGCTATTATAACTACATAATATTTTACACGCATAAAACAAAGAGATGAACATTGCCCAGACAATAAAGTCAGTTGAATAGTAGGGAAACTGGATTGTATATGATATTTTCTTATTCTTGGTATTTATGAAATTAGTTTTAAACTGCTCATATGATTTTAAAACAAAGCAAGCACTCTAACGATTTTGAACAATCCCCGCTGACTTCATTGAGGGGAAGAAAAAGTTTTCCTTATTTGACTTTCATATAAAGTATTATTCTATAAAAGTTTTAATATATGTTGCTCTTGCAAAAGGGTGTCCTAAACTACACGTAAATCTGTTTTCAATTCAGTAGTTAATCATCGCTAGACAGACACGTACTCTAGGTAGGCTACTGAATCCATCAAAGAGTTGATCTCTCCAAGGTTAGTTACAAGTGGTGCTTGACTTTGTTCTTTTCTGTTTATTTTTTGTCTATGTTGAGGTTACTTCCCTATAAATCTAATTTACAAGTTTTCTCCTCACTGCAGTGTCTGGTAAGATGGCTAATTTTCTCCCCTAAGCTTGTGACAATTATAATTTTAGGATCTTTTCTAATTCCAGCTTCCCTTCCCCTTTTCATCTCTTTGTATAGCCAGCAGCTTTTATACTAAATTTTGATACTAAGTCATTTGCATTTTACCATCTCCACTTAGAATACCATTACATTTAGAATAGGAAGTCTTTTATTTTCAGAGACACTGGCTACCAGTATGTGTTCATATGACTCTTTCTACTTAGTGACTCACATATGACTCTGGACACCCTGATCATTTGGGGGAATTGTAGGGTCATGCCATTTTTTTTTTTTTTGCAGTACGCGGGCCTCTCGCTGTTGTGGCCTCTCCCGTTGCGGAGCACAAGCTCTGGACGCTCAGGCTCAGCAGCCATGGCTCACGGGCCCAGCCGCTCCGCAGCATGTAGGATCCTCCCGGACCGGGGCACGAACCCGTGTCCCCTGCATCAGCAGGCGGACTCTCAACCACTGCGCCACCAGGGAAGCCCGGGTCATGCCACTTTTAATGTGATGTTTCATTCCGCTATTTTTATAGTTTGCATGGAATGCAGTCAAGTTTGTGTGAATGTCTGTATCTCATGTGATGTTCATTTGCTTCCGAAGGTCAAAGTATAAGCTAGGTGAACCATTAGCGGTGATTCCAGACCTGGAACAAGTTAATGACAGGCCTGAAATGGATGTTCTTACCAAGCATTTATAAGGTTACAGCTAGCCGCTTTCTCTCAGGATCCCAACAGAACAGCAGCGAAATCTTTCAGTGTCCAAAACTCCCACTGTGACTGCTGTCTTTCCTGCCCAGCCTTCATTGTACTGCATATGCAATATGTGGGTTACAGTAAATCCCTTTTTTCTCTCTTCAATCATTATTGATTCAAGTGTTTATTAAGAAGTCACTACATGCCAAGCAATGGTTAATTCATTAGCTGGAACCAAACATTAACTCTCTGTGTCACGGACCTTCAACTAGAGGTGCAGACAGGAAATCCTTTAAACAATACGTAAGTATGACATTGCAGAGAGTGAAAAGAGCTATAAAGGACATTAACTTGGGTAACAGGAAGTGGCTGAGTTCGGGGCTGGCACTTAGACGGGGTGATCAGAGTGAGTCTCCCTAAGAAACTGACATTTGAACTGATGTGACTGGCCAGGTACAGAGTTGGGGACTCTGTATCCGGTAGAGGCAACAGCAAGGGTCAAGACCCCCCAGCTTCAGGGGGAAACTTGAGGTGCTTGAGGAATGGAAAGAAAGCCACTGGGTCTTGGGCAGAGTAACAGGGGAGCAAATGGCAGAGGTGAAGTTGGAGGGGTAGGCATGGGCCAGGTTAGGGGTTGGCAAGATATGGCGCATGGGCAAACTCTCCCTAGTTACCTGTTTTTGGTGAACCGATAATGTTTTTTACAAATGCACACTTGCAATCACTATGGTGATAGGGGACACTGAATAACAGTTAGTGCTATCCCTCTCACAAACAAGAATTTCACTCTTGTAATTATTAGTTGATGATTACAAAAGTTATACTTATATATTTTAATAATAACCTTTTGTTATTTAATAAGAATATTTTTTTTAATATTTTGAAATTCACCAAAGACTTTTGTCAAAATTTGTTTTCTTTTTTCTGAGGAAAGTACCTAGTAGTATCCTTGATTTTGCCTCTTGGTGCACAAAGCCATATATACTTACTGTCTTTACAGAAAGTTTGTTAACTCCTAGGTTATATCATGCTAACTACTGTGGGAATACACTTTTTTAATCATCCTAAGTTTTTTTTTTTTTTAATGATATCTGGTCCCTTTTTCTCTTAAAACAAACATGTTCATTGAATGCCTAAATGTGATATTATTAAGAAATAATACATAGTGAAAAAAATAGCCTCTCAGATTATAGATGCTGCTGAAATTTTGAAGTTGATATTTCTACTTCTGTCTCAGTTTTCTTTCAGTCCTGTCAATCCAGTTTCCAAAACCACATATAGACACATCCCTTAGATATAACTGACATATAACACTGTATTAGTTTAAGGTGTATTACTAAATAATTTGATATTTGTATATATTGTGAAATGGCCACCACAATAAATTTGGTTAACATCCATCACTTCATATAGTTACAATTTTTTTCTTGTGATGAGAACTTTTAAGATCTACTCTCTCAGCAACTTTCAAATATACAATACAGTGTTGTTAAATATGATCATTCTGTGGTGCATGACATCCCCAGGACTTATTTATCTTATTAATTTGTGCATTTTTTCTTTGATAGTGAGAAACCTGACTATATTACCTGTAATATATTTACTTATTTTTTATCTTTATATACACATAAAATTACCTTAGAATTGCTCACTCATTCTTCTATGAGAAACAGATTTATAAAGTCAAGCCCAGCATTTTAAAACAGGTCTTATTTGCCTTTGGCCTTATAATATCCACTTAAAATTCTGTTTTCCAAAGTCACTTAGGTTGCTTCTTTTCTTCTACCACTTCATTTGTGATATGCTTACGTTAACTTATTACTATTTATATTCCACATCTGGCTTTCGCTCACATCCTGATTGATTTTGCTTATAAATATTTTTTTGCTTATATGTTTATTTTTTTGGTGTATTTTTCATTACTCTGGTTCTAAAAGTCAGAACACTACGATAAAGTACACTCAGAGAAGTGTCTCTCCTTCCTTTCCCGCTACCCTGTTCCCTCTTTCAACTTCTTTCTACCCTTTTCTCACGCACCCCATGGAGATAACGCATCTATTTAGTTTTTTGTTTAACCATCCTGCATTTCTTTTGCACAAATGAGCAGATACATGCATATTTTTAATAGCCTCTTTTTCTTACATGAAGGAGAATGTACTATAGATATTTTTCTGTATTTGGCTATTCTCACTTAACAGCATGCTCTGGAAATCCCTCCAAATCACATTGTAGAACTTGTCCTCATTCTTCTTACAGCCTCACAGTACTCCATTTTGTGGACGCACCATCATTTATTCAACTCTTCTCCTAGGGATGGGCACTTAGGTTTTCTCCAAAATTTTGCAATGACAAACGACGCTGCAAGGGACAACCTTGTGCATATGTATTTTCACATTGTTGGGAGTGCACCTTCAGGTAGACTTCTAGAAGAGGAACTGCTGATCAAAAGTGCATGTGCGTGGAGTTTTGTTAGATTTTGCCCAATTCCCTGTCGGCATTCCCACCAGCAGTGTCTGAGAGTTCCTGCCTCTCTCAGCCTCACCAACAGAATGTACTGTCACACTGTTTAATTTGTGCCAGTGTTATAGGTGACGAATTCTGTGTCAGTGTTTTAACTTTCATTTCTGTAATTATGAGTGGTTGGTTCTTTTTGTTTTTGTTTTTTGCGGTACACGGGCCTCTCACTGTTGTGGCCTCTCCCATTGCGGAGCACAGGCTCCGGACGCGTAGGCTCGGCGGCCATGGCTCACGGGACCAGCCGCTCCGCGGCATGTGGGATCTTCCTGGACCGGGGCACGAACCCGTGTCCCCTGCATCAGCAGGCGGACTCTCAACCACTGCGCCACCAGGGAAGCCCGAGTGGTTGGTTCTTCATCAATTTCAGAGCAATTTATTTTGGCAGTGCCGCACGGCTTGTGGGATCTCAGTTCCCCGACCAGGGACAGAACCTGGGCCCCATCAGTGAAAGTGCTGAGTCCTAACCACTAGACCACCAGTGAACTCCCTGTTTTTTGACATTTTAAAATATCAGCTTTTTGCCACTTTGTCTCTCAATTTTTAGAGATTTCAATCCATTGGAGACATTATTGTGGCATATTTTATACATATTTTCTCCCAGTTTTCAGTTGTATTTTGATTTCATATATGTTATTGTTAGGTTTTTTCCCCCCATGTAACTTCTTCCTTTTATTGTAGTAAATTTGTCAATCTTTTCTTATATTACTTTTGGATTTGGAGTCACAGTTGGAAGGCTTTCTCTCCACTATGGTTGAAGTAGAGTTTACCTATGTTTTTTTCCTAATA